GTCCATCACTTGTTGCGCAGCAGTCACGAACTCCATCCCGCACTGCTGCATGTGCGAGGGCGTGGGCGCAACCTGCAGACCGGATCGAATGCCAGGGCCGAGGGAGGCGAAGCGCGCCCACACCCACGCCAGCCGCCCCGCCCCCGCTCCGCTCGACCTAAGAAAGAGGGTCCCAAGAGGGGGCCCAGCTGGGGAACCCGAACGGACATTTCGAGCCCTCGGCCCCCCCAGGAGGCCCCCGAGAGGCCCCAAAACCGCCCCCAAGATGCCCCTGGAAGCGCCCCGAAGAGACCCGAAGAAGCATCCTTGAGAACTCCGACACACAACCCAGACACGGTGGCAGGATGGGCCGAGGGCCATTCGATCCGCCGCCCCCTGTGGTCTTGCCACAGGGGTGCACGGCGTGCTGGATGTTTCAGGTTTTGGTTTTGGTTCTTTTTCTAAAAGAACTCCCCAGTGGGCTTCGGCCCGTCCCGCCGGCCACCCGCAAGTTTCCGAAAATCCATCTGTCAATGCCTTTGTTGCCCCAACTTGGCCCAAGATGGCCTCCAAGACGGCCAAGATGGCCCAAGATGGCCTCCAAGATGCTTCCAAGACGGCCAAGATGGCCTCCAAGACGGGTAAGATGGCTCCAAGATGCACCCAAGACGGCCCAAGATGGCCTCAAGATGGTCTAAGACGGCCCAAAAGGCCCGCAAAAGGCCTCCAAGACGGCCCAAGAGCCCTCCAAGACGCCCTCCAGGAAGGCCCGAATAGGTTAAAATCATTGATTTTCCTTAGGTTTTTCAAGGATGTTGGCATGTTCTTCTTTTCAGCTCTCCGACGGCCCAAGACGGCCCAAGAGGTCCCCAACATCGCCCCAACAGCACCCAAGAGGCCTCCAAGATGGCCCCATGACGGCCCAAGAGGCCCCCAAGAAGGCCCCAAGAGGGCCTCAAGACGGCCCAAGAGGCCTCCAAGACGCCCAAGATGGCCTCCAAGACGGCCAAGATGGCCCAAGATGGCCTCCAAGATGCCTCCAAGACGGCCAAGATGGCCTCCAAGACGGGTAAGATGGCTCCAAGATGCACCCAAGACGGTCCAAGATGGCCTCAAGATGGTCTAAGACGGCCCAAAAGGCCGGCAAAAGGCCTCCAAGACGGCCCAAGAGCCCTCCAAGACGCCCTCCAGGAAGGCCCGAATAGGTTAAAATCATTGATTTTCCTTAGGTTTTTGAAGGATTTTGGCATGTTCTTCTTTTCAGCTCTCCGACGGCCCCAGACGGCCCATGAGGTCCCCAACATCGCCCCAACAGCACCCAAGAGGCCTCCAAGATGGCCCCATGACGGCCCAAGAGGCCCCCAAGAAGGCCCCAAGAGGGCCTCAAGACGGCCCAAGAGGCCTCCAAGACGCCCAAGATGGCCTCCAAGACGGCCAAGATGGCCCAAGATGGCCTCCAAGATGCCTCCAAGACGGCCAAAATGGCCTCCAAGACGGGTAAGATGGCTCCAAGATGCACCCAAGACGGCCCAAGATGGCCTCAAGATGGTCTAAGACGGCCCAAAAGGCCCGCAAAAGGCCTCCAAGACGGCCCAAGAGCCCTCCAAGACGCCCTCCAGGAAGGCCCGAATAGGTTAAAATCATTGATTTTCCTTAGGTTTTTGAAGCATCTTGAGATTTCCTTCTTTCCGGCCTTCCGACGGCCCGAGACGGCCCAAGAGCCCCCAGAGATCGCCGAAAGATCGCCCAAGAGGCCTCCACGACGGCCAAGATGACCTTCAAGATGCCCACGTGTTCCCCGAAGGCTTTCCAAACCGATTCGGGGAACACATGGTCCGATGGCTTGGCAGGTCTGGCCTCAACGTTCGGCCACATAGGCGCTTCCAAAAAGGCAGGGGGCGGCGGTGGTTCGCCGTAGGCGTCTTCGATCCGCCGCCCCCTGTGATCTTGCCACAGGGGTGCCCGGCGTGCTGAAATTCTCACGGTTTGGTCTTTTGGTTGGAAGAACTCTCCCCTGGGGCTTCAGCGCGTCCTGCCGGCCACCCGGAAGACCGCGCCGCTGCGCAACCCATTTTTCGAACAACCGCCGATTCGCTAGGGACGTCCTGAAAAAATCGCGATCTCGGGGATCCGAGACCAAGACGCCTCATGCTAAGAATGAGCGTTTCGCCCAAACCGGCCTCAGGAGGACGGCAGGCCGCCCGAGAGACCCCCAGGAGGCCTCCAAGACGGCCCAAGAGGCCTCCAAGGGGGCCTCCAGGAGGGCCCGAAGAGGCCAAAGTCAGCTATGCTCCTTAGGTTCCTGAAGGATTTGGGCAGTTGTCTCTTTTCGGCCTTGCGACGGCCCGAGACGGCCCAGGGCCCCCAAAGACCGCCCCAGGATCGCCCAGAGCAACCTCCAGGACGCCTGGGGCACCCCAAGAGGGCCCGAGTCGGCCCAGAGAGGCCCCCAAAGACGGCTCCCGCCGGCGTCAGACGGGCCGCGAGCCCACCAAGTCGGCCCAAGATGGCTCTCAGATGGCCCAAGACGGCCCAAGAGGCCCCCAGGGGGCCTCCAAGACGGCCCAAGAGGCCCCCAAGGGGGCCTCCAGGAGGGCCCGAAGAGGCCCAAACCATTGATGAACCTTTGGTGTTTGAAAGATTTCGGCATGTGCTTCTTTTCGGCCTGTCGACGGCCCGAGACGGCCCAAGAGCCCCTAAAGATCGGGCCAGGATCGCCCAGAACGGCCAAAGAAGCCCCCAAGACGGCCACAAGGGGGCCCCAAGACGGCCCAAGAAGCCTCCAAGACGCCCAAGATGGCGTCCAAGGCGACCCTGGAGCACCCCAAGAGGGCCCCAAGTCGGTCCAGATAGGCCCCCAAGACGGCTTCCGACGGCGTCAGGCGGGCCAGGAATGCCTTAAGATAACCAAGGAGGCCTCCGAGAAGCTCCCAAAGGCCCCCCAGAGGCCCAAGGAGGCCCCCAAGATGCATCCAAGAGGCTCCCAGGAAACTCTCAGGAGGCCCCCGGATTGCCCCCAGAGGCTCCCAAGATGCTCTGCTTCCGCCCCTCTCCTCCCTCCGCCTCATCCTCGTCTTTCTTCTCATCCGCATCTCCGCATCACCCAATGAAGACGATTGGAGGACACTTGATTTTGCACGGTGACCTGAGCATCGCCTCCTTTCTGTGGCAACTCACGCGAGCCTCCCATGCCATATTGCTGGCTCTTGCGAACGACGCTAACCGATGGCAGTCGACGCTAGTCGACGCAACTCCACGCTAAATCGACGCAAAACAGATTTTTCTCATCGATTAGCACGCTAATGCACTGCAGATGGAACTACGAGAACATACGAGGCCCCCATGACTTACTACGTACGAATCCGCTGACGAGCTCTGTCAACGGAAACTCTGTCGCTGCTGGATGTCCCCGATGCTCCGTCAATGCAGGCGCACCGAGGTGGACATGACGCACCGCATCAACGTCTCCATGTCCACGGAATCGATCACCCTCGGTAGCGATCTTGTTTCACACAAGGGTAGATACCGCTCCTCAACACCATCATCAACACCACCACCATCACCATCATTATCACCACCAGCATCATCATAATCATCATCATCCTCATCCTCATCCTCATCCTCATCCTCCTCCTCATCACCATCATCGTAATCATCATCATCATCATCATCATCATCATCATCATCATCATCATCATCATCATCATCGTCGTCGTCGTCGTCGTTGTCGTCGTCGTCGTCGTCGACGTCGTCGTCGTCGTCGTCACCATCACCCTTCTGCACAATGATACCACACGAATGCTACTCTCACTTCTCCCCTAACTCTGTCTGGGGTCAGTGGGCCCTCTGGGCGCCGTGCTGATAAGGCTGGAAGAGGTGCTGGTCCCCATGTGTTGATTTTGAAACCGGTTGTTCGGTTTCCAAAAACGGTGCTACCGCTGCAGCGTGGGCCACATGTTCGGATCGGCGCTTTGCCCCTGTCGTTCAGGTTGGCTTCTTCGACCGAGCGTGGGCCACGTTTATCGATCCCACAGACCTGACAGGTCCTGCAGGTCCAGCAGGCCTCGCAGGCCCCACAGGTCCCACAGGTCCCACGTAACCCACAGGTGCTGCAGGTCGCCCAACAGGTACCACAGGTACCTCGGCCACAAGTAACCTTCCACAACAACAACAACACCACCACCAACAACAACAACACGAACAACCCTAAGATCCCAAGATGACCACTGATTTCGGTGGGAACGTCACACTTTCCATAGCGAAACCATCTAACCCCCCAACAAACCAGGGAACCCTGAAGGCAAGCATAGTGTTTCTTGGCATGGGTCTCCACTGTGCCACAAGTCTGACAGGTCCCGCAGGTCCCACAGGTCCCACAGGTGTCGCATGTCTCTCAGGTCCCACAGGTCCCACAAGTCCGGCAAGTCCCGCAGGTCACACAGGTCCCGCAGGTGTCGCAGGTCCCACGGAGGTCCCCCAGGTCCCACAGGTCCCGCAAGTCCCATAGGTGTCGCAAGTCACGGAAGACCCAAACTTCCAATAGATCCCACAGGCGGCGCAGGTCTCACAGGCCCCACAGACCACAGAGGTCCCCAAGGCCCCACAGGTCCCACAAGTCCCGCAGGTCCCCACCTGCCCCACAGATCCCACAGACGTCCCACAGATCCCACAGTTCGCACACATCCCACAATTCCCACATGCCCTACAGGACCCACATGTCATCTATTGCTGCTGTTTGAGTGTTTTTTTCTGAGGTGATGGAGCTCCAGGTCGGCTATGACACGCGTCCGAAGAAATATACAAACACCAACGCGATGGAAAAGGATTGAAGGGAGGGATCGGATGTCTGATATGGCACGAACGCACCTAGCTTGTCTTCCCCTCCCCCTCAGCATCTCGAATCCCCACTCAGTCTTCCTCATTTCTCTTCTCTTGTCCCTCTTCCAATGCATGTCTTCCCCTTCTCCCATATCTTCCTTCCTCCGTCCGCTCCCCACTCACCATCATCATCCGCCTCGTCCCTCCTCCCTCCTCCTTCACGTTTTGCTTCTGAGCAGCTTGGAACGTGCGCGCGCGGGGAGACGCATGCATGACAGAGGCACAGGGCGTCAAGAATTGCTCTAAGATAACACCGTATGGTCCCAGATGACCTCCACTATGGCACAGTGTAGCCGGAGTTAGAGCAGTATGACGTCCAAACTTCTTGGAACATCCCAAGCTGCCTTCAAACAAAACCAACCCGCACTCTAGGGGCAGGTGGGCTAGCGCGCTTCCTCTTACAATGCCTCTCTCCTCCTTGTCAGAGAATGCTGGATGAGAACGTCAAAGATACGAGCAAACGTGCCATAGCAGACTAACACATACACATGCTATTGATCCATTGCGCTGGTCTGCTGTGCTGGTCTGTTTCGGGCTCTCTTGATCTTTTTCGGACCCTCGTGGGAGCCTTCTGAAAGCTTGCCGGGAGCCTTTCGGGGGCCTCTTGGGGCCTTCTTGGGGCCTCTTGGGGTGCCCTCTTGGAGCTGTCTTGGGTGGTATGGTAGCCTCTTCGGGCGCTCTTGAAGACCTATGGGCGCCACACGGGGGGCTTTTAGGGGCTCCTTGGAACGCTTTCAAGGTTCTCTGGGGAAAATCTGTTGGGCCTCGCCTGGGCCGCTTTGGAGCCCACCTGGAGCGATTTCTTCGGGCGCTCTTGAATACCTATGGGCGGCGCACGGGGGCCTCCTGAGGGCTCCCTGGAAGGCTTTCGGGGTTATCAAGGGTACATCTGTTGGGCTTCTTCTGAGCCGCTTTGGAGCCCACCTGGAGCGATTCCAAGATGACGTTGGCTCGGAGCCTTCCCCGAAGCCCATCTCATCTGGAAACATCCTCCGCCCAGAACCGAAGGACCTGTTCTGGGCGGGGCACGTTTCCAGAGGTTTTCGGGCAGCGTTCTCAATACACGTCGCAATCTGAACGGGTGGCGGAAACTGAAGTTTACCTGCACATGCCAAGTTCAATTTGAATTTAGATTTAGACTTCGAGTGAGACCGAAAAGGCTGGTACACTAGCCCGCACAACAAGAGCAACTAGACTAGGATGTCCCAGCGGAAGCATCAGGACTCCACCCTCCTATTCGAAGGGAAGGTCGGGTCAGCTGGGGGGCACGCAACCGCAAGACACGAGCGGGTGGGTCGGGCCGCACGGGCGGGACACTGAAATACGCCCCTCTCCCCCTGACCCCTCACCCCTCTATGGTGCTCCTGCTCCTGCTCCTGCTCCTCTTCCTCCTCCTCCTCCTCCTCCTCTTCCTGCTCTCCTGCTCCTGCTCCTCCTACTCCTTCTCCTCCTCGTCCTCCTCTTCCTCCTCCTCCTCTTCCTCCTCCTCCTCGTCCTCGTCCTCGTCCTCGCCATCTTCCTCATCCTCTTCTTCCTCCTCCTCCTCATCCTCATCCTTCCTCCGCCTCCTCCCTCCAACCTCCTCCGCCTATTCCTCCCTCTCCTCCTCCGCGCGCCTCCCTCCTCATCCCCATTGTGCGAACTTCTTCTGTTCAACCCTCGCCAAAACGGAAGAAGGAAAAAGGAGGCAGAAGGGAAGCCAAAAGAGAACGAGTAAGGTCGGAGAGCGTTTTTTTTTACGAAGGTGGCCAAATTGAAAGTAAATAGCACGACAAGGGCTTAGGCAAACTCGAGGGAATGACTAGGAACGCGGCTGTTTCAGCATCGCGCCACAGCCAGAAAAGGGGGGAAGAATGTGGAATGAACGCGTGGAGGCCGTGCGGATGGACATTGGAGAGGGCCGAATCGAGGGGTGGGGAGAGCAAGGATTCGTTTCGGCGGAAGTGTGAGAGAGGTGGATGTGCGCGTGGAAGAAAGAAGGGGGGGGGACGGGCACCACTTGCAAGTGTGTGGTGGGACAACAAACGACAGACCCATTGTGACATGGGAACCAGGCTCGGACTGGTTCGGTTTGTTTCCTTGTAGGCGAAGATCTGTGTACGTGTGAATGTGAATATGCGAATGTGTTCGGACGCTTGGCATGATGGATGTCCTGGCGGGTGTCCGGATGGCTGTCCACGTGGTACTCCCGACGTTTGTTCCAACGGTCGTCCCGACGGTTGTCCCTGCGGTTGTCCCGATGGCTGCCCCGATGCTTGTGGTTGTCCTCGCGGTTGTCCCGACTGTTCTCACGAACAGAACTGGACAGAAAAGAACGTCGGAGGGGAGGGGGTGAGATCGAAGTGGAACGGAGAGCCCCCCTACCGGGAAATCGATTTCGGTTTCGTGTTCGTGCGTGCCGTGCGGGCGGGCGAGGCGAAGCTGCGTGGGCGGGCGAGAAAAAGTCTCCTGTGGCTGAGGCGCGGCCGGACCAAATGATTCCCTTCCGGGCGGCTGGTGGCCCGCGGTGTCCCGCCGGTGTCCCGCGAAAGTCCCGTGTGGCTGAGGCGCGGCCGGACCAAATGATTCCCTTCCGGGCGGCCGGTGGCCCGCGGTGTCCCGCCGGTGTCCCGCAGTGTCCCGCGGTGTCCCGCGGTGCCCCGCGGTGTCCCGCCGATGTCCCGCGGTGTCCCGCGATGATGATGATGATGATGATGATGATGATGATGATGAAGATGATGATGATGATGATGATGATGATGATGCTGCTGCTGCTGCTGATAATGATGATGGTGATGCTGATGATGATGATGCTGCTGCTGCTGATGATGATGATGACGATGATGATGATGATGATGATGATGATATGAGGATGATGGTGTCCCGATGATGATGATGCTGCTGATGATGATAACGATGATGATGACGATGATAATGATGATGCTGATGGTGTCCCGATGATGAGGATGATGAGGATCATGATGATTATGTTGCTGATCATGATGATGACGATGATGGTGTCCTGATGATGATGAGTATGATGATGTTGATGTTGATGATGCTGATTATGATTGTGTCCCGATGATGATGTTGATGATGATGAGGTTGATGATGATTATGGCGTCCCGATGATGATGATTATTATGATGGTGATGATGATGATGATGATGATGATGGCGTCCCGATGGTGATGATGATGATGTGATGATGATGATGAGGATGATGTTGATGCTGATGTTGGTAATGATGATGATGGTGCCCAGATGATGACGATGATGATGATGCTGATGATGATGCTGATGATGCTGATGATGATGATGATGTCGATGATGAGGATGAGATGTGATGATGGTGTCCCGATGATGATGATGATGATGATGATGATGATAACGATGGTGATCATGATGGTGTCCCGATGATGATGCTGCTGATGATGATGATGATGACGATGACTGTGTCCCGATGTTGCTGATGATGATGCTGATGATGATGATTGTGATGATGTGATGATGGTCATGATGATGATGATGGTGGTGTCCCGATGATGTTGATGACCGTGATGATGATGATGTGATGTGTGTTGATGATGAGGACGGTGTCCCGATTATGATGATGTTGGTGATGATGATGTTG